TTTTTGGGGCTGGGGTCCCCCTTTAAAATTCCTACCAGACCTTAAGGGTCTGGTATGGATTTTGGGGGGAACCCCACGCACTTTTTTTTGTGTTAGAAGGAGGGGGGGGCCCTCCTAACATTCCTAACAGACCTAAAGGGTCTTGTATGAATTGGGGGGTAACCTCACGCTTTTTTTTTTTCATCTTCTGCAGACTGTAAAAAAAAAAATACATTTTGCTGCAACAGAATTCGTCCAATAACTAATTTAGTTGCGTCAAAATGACATTAAGGTAAACAAAAATGACTTTTTTTTTTTACAGTCTGCAGAAGATGAAAAAAAAAAAAGCCTGAGGTTCCCCCCAATTCATACCAGACCCTTTAGGTCTGGTAGGAATGTTAGGAGAATGCCAATTCAAAAGCAAAGGAAAAAAAAAAAACTTTAAATGTTGGTTGACTTGGCCGGGATTTGAACCTAGGATGTTATCAATGGGAAGCCTGTGCTCTAACCTCTACACTATAGCCTCTGTACTTTAAGCATACATGTGTTGTAGAGGTAAAATGGTTTAATTTTTTTTACCTAATGTCATTTTGCTGCAACGAAATTCGTCCAATAACGAATTGCGGGAAATCGGGAATTTCGGATTCGTTTGCATTCGTCTTAGCTGTAATTCGGAATTCGGATGCATCCGAATCTCCGAGTTTCCGAAAATTCGTCCAAAACGAATTTCGGAACGAACCGAATCGCACATGTCTAGTATTCAGTGACTAATCCACAGAATGCAGTCCAGTTAGGTAGGTAAAGATAAAAGTGATCCAGAAAAATTCTTTATAAACCTTTTATGATGTTTTACTGTGTCTTTATTGTACATATTATGTGATATTCAGTTTTTTTAGGAAATGTATTCTATGCTATAGAGAGTTGGGAAAATAAAGAGGCACCCAACTCAGGCACTGCAGTTGTAGTGGGAGGGAAAGAGAAACATAGTTGGGAAGTCTGAAGTACATGTCACAGGTGGTGAGGTGTCACAGGTTTTAAACATTCCCTTACATAATGGTGGGCCTTTGCTCGGAAAAAAATACATCCAAATAAAAATCTAGGAGATGTCTATTTTTATTTTTTTTAAATGTAGGATACTTCAAATGGGCATTAAGAGCACTGAGTCATTAAACATTTAGATACGCTATATGTCCTGTTGCTGCATGTTGGGTTTCCTATAGACCAAAAGGTGGCAACCGCAGGGTTGACAGACAACCATTATCATCTCTGTGCCCTGTACCAGCCTGGTCAGTGTATATTGATATATAGTTCCAATAGTACTGCTCTTACTGCTCTTATGGGTCTTTGCTGTTATCCCTAAATGCCTCTTAGCAATCATGTTTAGGTTAGTGGGAGTGATGGCAAGCAACACTGCTGGATCTGACTTTTGAGGGACAAAATAGTGATCAGGCAATGTTTTCCAGCCCCTCCCCCTCAGATTGCCAAGGCATTGCTTGTGACATAGACAGTTGCATTGCTTTTTTTACTGTGGTTTTCAATTAAAATTATTCCTACATTTCAAATAACTATTTTCTAATACCAGATACTAAAATTTGCATTAAAAATAAATGATTTATGTAAAAAACACTCTTTTACAATCTATTGTATGTTAAAAATGTGTCTCATTTTAAATATAGCAGACAAGAGACTACCTGGTTAGACATATTAGCTGTGAATAAGTAACTACATTGGCGCTGATTTGATACGGTATAGTCAAAATGTTATACGCATTAGCATCCATGGTGTGTCTATTCCTTATACTTATACTTGTTTTGTTAAACCAGGATCCCACCGGAGGTCTGGCAATGTTTTATCATAATGTCACGAAGCTGTTTGTATCACCTTTGTCTGAAAAATGTAATAAAAATTGTCAATTTAAAAAAAAATGTGTCTCATTTTTTCATACTTTTTTAACTCAGAGTAAACATGGCACAAAGTTTTCCTAATTTATGCAAAGCATTGTACCGCCAGGGGGAAAATGTATCTGTAACTGAACCAATGATGACAGCTTCTTGAAAGAGTCACTTACTAAACAAACTACCCAAGGTCAGCTGCAGCCTTGTTCCTGCTTGAAATTATCTTATTTTGTGGACAGCTTGCAGGAAAAAAATCCTTTCAAAAAGCAAAAAAAACAAAAAGGCCAATAAAGAAATAAAAATGCACCACCAAAACCATACATTTGTCTCAATCCAGGCACTGTAAATTTGGTATTTACATTACCATGCAGTATGTGCTTTTTATGAAGATTCATGCATTTTTCAGGTTACTAAATATGACGCAACATGATGAATCAACTGAATTTGTTGCATGTCAGTTCACAAACTTTTTTGCACAGCTTAGTGCTCCTTAAGGCTACATTCACATTAGGTGCAATTAGATGCATTTATATGGTTTTCTAAATGCATATATATGCATCTAATGATTTCCAATGCACCTATTTACACGTTGTGTTGAGATTATTCATCTGATGTTAGTTCAGCTGCTTTTAGAAAAAAAAGTCAAAGCATCTAGGAATTGTTTTTAAGTTCTAAACACACCAAGACACATGTAAACGCAAGACACATTTATTTGCTAAAATCTCATTGGATACTTCAAGTTGACTGTTTCACACGTAAATACACGTAAATGCGCATAATTTTAAGCATCTAGAAGCATAAAGAAAGCATCTAGCCCGACAGATTTCTGAAAAAAAAATGCAAACGGCAAGTGTGAATAAAGCCTAAAGTGGACCTTTCACTAATTTTACATGAATACATTCCTGACATGGAACCGTATATACCATTTTCAAATAATCTGTACCTTTGTCACTGAAAAGGAGTCCTTGTACTTGAGTCAAGTGACTTTGGCTAGGCTCAGATGATTGCCATCCGTCTGTTGCATATAGCAGTAAGCATTTCCTCATATGCTCCAACCCTGTAACTTTGCAGCGAGGTAAGAGCAGAGGGTGATATGACCAGACATTTGTGAACACAGACACCAGGATTTGCATGACTGCGTCATCTCTAAACTATTATCTTTATCAAGAAAGTAAATGCTGCCCCTGGATAATACCTGAACAAAGACAGTGCCAGAAAAAACATGGAAAAAGTGGATTATTACTTCCACATGATTTGAAATTTGAATTGAACAGCTTTACATTATTCACTATGGGGTCTATTCACTAAGCTGCCGTAGGCAGCCGAGTGAACGACCGACCTGAAGTGAAGTGAGCCGAACGCTGTTCGGCTATTCACTTCAGACTTGTATGGCTGATTTCAGCCGTATATCGGCTGAAATAAATGGCCCTTTCAGGGATCATTTATATAAGCTGGACCAATGGAAATATATATAGTGGTAAACTCTGTCATGTTGATTAGTGTTGCTTCTAACCTTGTTTAGGACTCGGACATCAAGAATCCGACATATATCTGTCCCTGGGCCAAATTCAGTAGAAAGTGTGCACACTATCAGTGAAGAAATAAAACATGTGTGTGTGTGTGTGTGTGTGTGTGTGTGTGTGTATATATACACAGTACACAATTTTTTAATGCTGGAGCTCAGCTTTATACTGTAAACCTACTGCTGAAATCAGAAATGTATTTAATTTATGTCTTTCCCAGCTGCTGGTGTAGTTATACTTTTAATAAGGTTAACAGCAGCTTTCCTCAGTGACTCATTTTTAAAGCTGTAAATGATGGGATTCAGCATAGGAGTCACAACAATGTAAAATACAGAAACAATTTTGTTTTGATGAATCGGAGAGTCCACTTTGGGTCTGAGGTAAATGAAAATGACAGTACCATAAAATATTCCCACCACAAGCAGGTGAGAGGCACAGGTGGAGAAGGCTTTTCTTTTACCATAGCTAGAAGGGATATTTATAATAGCGCCAATTATGTTGATATAAGAAAGGGCAATGCACATTAGGCATCCCAGAATTATGATCCAGGAGAGGCAATTGAAAATATATTGAGCAACATAGGTATCAGTGCAGGAGAGCTTTAGTAAAGGGTTAAATTCACAAAAGAAGTGATCGATGATGTTCGGCCCACAGAAATAAAGCTTTGATACTGAAACAGCTGGGATGGTAAGAGACACAACACTAATAAGCCAGCAGGATAAAATCAGTTTCATACAAAATGTATTGCTCATAATGCCTCCATAATGAAGAGGGTGACAAATTGCCACATATCGGTCATAAGCCATGGTCACTAGAAGAAAATGTTCAGTTGCAGCACAGAGAGAAAAGAAATGATACTGGGCAATGCAACCAGCAACTGAAATGGAGGTAATCTCTCCAATTAGGTCTGAAAGCATTTTGGGCACAGTGACTGCTGTGTAGCAGATCTCAAGGAAAGAAAAATGACCAAGAAGCATATACATTGGACTATGAAGGCGGTGATCACTGTATACAAGAATAATAATCATCATATTGGCTATAAGGGTTAAAAGATAAATGACAAGAAAGATAATAAATAGATAGACACGCTTATTTTGTGATAGCGAAAATCCCTGGAGAATGAATTCTGTCACACTGGAGTGGTTCATATTGCCTGTTGTCATAGCAACAGCCTTTTCTTAAACCGTGTTCAATGGTGTCAGTCATTGGATATTATAGAACTGTTATTTCTAAATCAAAAGAAACATGTCAGCCATACAATATGGAATATCTGTCCATACACTGTTGAACACATTTATAATTACTATGTTTGTAGAGTCTATTATAATTTTTTTTAGCAAGTGTTATTAACTGAAGTGTAAAATATTGTTTAAAGCTATCACATGTAAGTTCTGAATCTGCATTAATTAATGGCACATAATTTTGATCATTACATTAATTAAGCTATACATTTTAATAAAAACAAGAATTAATGTAGCGAGTGTCCTATTAAGTTGCATCAACCTGCTTTGTCAGGAAACGTGTACACTGTAGGTCCAGTACCATCAGGCTTTAACCCTTTAGTTGCCAGAGCCATTTTTGCTGTTTTTGCATATGTTATAATCCACATCTTAGGCCTGAAAATGACAAGTTACAAATGTTACGAATGTTTATGTTGCATGATATTAGCACAACTCTTTATCAAAACCAAAATTTCAGTTAAAAATATGAACAAAAACACAATTTTGTAGAACATAAAAGATGAGGTTATGCCAAGTAAATAGATACCCAACATACCAAGCTTAAAGATTGTGTGGAAGGTGAAAAAATATGGTACCCCAAATTGTCCATAGGCAACGCTTTAAGAGCCTCTACAGGACATCAGTTTAGAGTTAGATACCTAACATGTGTGGCACAATTGTCATTTTTGTACATAGGTGCACCCAATGTGTGTTTGCATTAGTATGTGACATTTGTTTAAACTATTTAATTTTTTTGCTTAACCTCCTTGCTATCACATAGGGGGCTAACAGGCGAAAGCACATTGGAGGTTCTCTTTAAGGTGACTTTAAGTTTTTTTTTATACCCCTTATGTCATTTTTCCAGTGCAATGAAGCTGATCAAGCACAGAACATGCTAGATCAGCTATGTCCCCAGCTTCTGTAGTCAGTGAATGACAACTCAGAAGCCAGAAGTAATGCAATTGCTTTGCTTCTGGCTTATTTCAGCAGGGAAAAGATCAGTGAATGAATGTTTAGTGGTCTTTGCTACCCACCGACATCTGCAATGCAGGTCCTGGGCCCACAGGAGGGGCACCAAAGCCCAGAAAATAAAGGTGGGGGACCTCAGATGGCTCTATTTACTGGTCCATGGAAGTTATCTTACCAGAATTTTTTCCAGTGTGCAGCCAACAGTTGGCTTTAGTCAGGTTAATAGACTGTGTTCACAGGGGCCCACTGCCAGCAACATGTGGCATATGTCACTGGCAGTGAAAGGGTTAAAGCCCTCTAATATGAGCATTATTGAAGCTCACCGCGAGTTTTTTTGAGCACAGTGAAAACTACAAGATCTCCAGTACCCTGCGGAGACACACTAAACAAATTTGCAGAACCATGCTTATATATCTGGATATGTTATATCACAAACTTATGTTTAATAGTGTATCTAAAGCCAAAAACAAAAATATAATATATTTCTGCCTATGGCCCTTAAATGTGGTGGCTGCATTAGTTTTTCTCTTTATTTTCACCTGGTAATCCTGCAAATAATACACTTCACGTCCCTGGGTGGCTACACTTACTTCTCCACTGTATACATGTAGGAAGCCATGGTTATCACACAGGGGTCTATTCACTAAGCTGCCGTAGGCAGCCGAGTGAATGACCGACCTGAAGTGAAGTGAGCCGAACACTGTTCGGCTATTCACTTCAGGCTGGTACGGCTGATTTCAGCCGTACATCAGCTGAAATCAGCCGTACATCGGCTTGCTTCACATGGCTTTGGGTCGGCCGAACATGCTCAGCATGTTTGGCCGACCAGAAGTGCAGAAGGAGTTCGACTCAGCCGATCCAACATCTGGATCGGCTGAGCCGACCCTCCGGCAGGCTCCTCGCTGCTGTTCGGTGTATTCTCATAGATGCCGAACAGCAGTGAGTA